CTCGGATTACAGGCACGTACCGCCATGCCCGGCTAATTTTTGTATTTTTAGTAGAGACGCGGTTTCACCGTGTTGCCCAGGCTGGTCTTGAACACCTGGGCTGAAGTGATCTGCCCACCTCAGCCTTCCAAAGAGCCGGGATCACAGGCGTGAGCCACCGTGCCTGGCACCCTCTGATACTTTCTGATCTCAGTATTAGTTTTCTGATCTTTCTTGCTTCCCCTTATTTCACTGTCCAGGATCCCCAGTACCACGCTGGCCAGAAGTTGCAGGGGAGAAGCTCTCAATATCTCGCACCTAAAAATGCTGCTGCCCCAGGTTTTCTATACATTCCCATTACTAGTTAAGGATGCTCCCTTTAATAAGCAGAGGCTACAGGGGAGCCCAACAGCGGCCTGGAAGAGGCCCACCCAGAAAGGGACAGTTGATGACTGAGAGTGGAGGACCCTGGGATCAGGCAGATGCTCTGGTCACTGAGGTGACCCAAGGCTGAAGAAAGACCAGCATGTACAGGTGGGCTGGCATGTGGGGCAAAGCAAGTACCTGGATAAACTTCTCCATGTCTCCCCCAAAGAGTCTCTGGTTATACTGGGAGCTGGGGCGGGGGTGGCGGCTCTTCTGGAATTTTCTCTGTGTGTACTGGGTCCTGTGGTGAACGGGAACTGGTTCTGAGGGGGCCGGGCATGGAGAATAGGGTGCCCCACCCACCAGCCCAGCCAAGTAGGCCTCTAATTCTCTGAAGTTATTCCACAATCCAGTGCGAAAACTGGGATATTGAGGCTCAGGGAATTGGGCAGCTGAGCTGGGCCCGACGGAGAGAAGAGATGGGGGACCATCGCAGAGCCCCAGCTTCTCAGAACACACCAGCCCCTCATGAAGGACTCACCAAGACATCTCCCGCTCCTCCTTGTCACCTGTGGGGTGGGAGAACATTGGTCTGCCTCTCAGGCCAAGGGTCTTCAATGCATCCCAGAGAGAAAGGTGTGGACAATGGCCAAGGACAGGCAGGAGGGGAGGACCGTGGGCTACATAGGGTCCTGGGCCCACCTCGCTGAAGGGCCTCCTGCAGCTTCTCGTGCTTGGCCTGCAGCTTGGCGAGGATGCTCCGTCCACTCAGATACTCCTGGAGCTTCTAGGCAGCCCCAAGAAGAGCCCAAAGTGTTAGCCCTGGCTTGAGCCCCTCCCTCTGCCCCAGCCACGCCCCCACGGGTCCCACCCACCAGCCCAGCCCTCCCCACCGTGAGGTAGAAGGTTTCGGTCTCCTGCTGCTGGCCACGCCTCCGGCCTGCCTGCCGGCTGCCTGGGTCTGAGCTGGTGGACTTGAGGGACTCGGTGGAGGGGCTGGTCTGGAAGGAGTCGAGCACATCCCCGTCATCCGAGGCCACCACCTCCAGCAGGGCCTGCAGTGTTGCCTTCAGCGTCTTGTTCACCTGCAGAGGAGACCGCACAGGGTGGTAAGAGATGGGGGACAGGGATGGAGACAGGAAGTCCAAGTCAGAAGGAAGGGACCAGAGGGAGGCGGGCAGGCAGGGCAGTCACTTCCAACAGCAGGTTATACAGGCTCCAGGTCCCTGTCTCCCTCTAACCCCCAGTGGGCTGCCCAGACCTCCTCCGTCTCGATGGTCTGTCGGTCCAGGCGGCTCTGGATGTTCTGGGCTCTGGGCAGAATCTCGTCCTGCAGCTCCATTTCAACGCAGATCTCAGCCACCTGCAGAGGGTGGCGGCCAGGGGGCTGAGGGCTGCGCTTGGGCAGTAGGTGCCAAGATTCCCGGGGCATAAGGGAAGCAAGCACCCTTTTGTGGCCTGGCGGCCAGACACAGGACCACCAGCCCAGACGCTCAGCTGAAGAATGGCAGAAGGGAACACATGTGTCCAAACTAAGACTTGTCCACAGAGGTTCATAGCGGCACCACTCATCCAACAGACGGATGGCTAAACTCAGTGCAGTCTACCCACAGAATGGAAGAGGACTCAGCCAGGAGAAGGAATGAATCCACTTATGTAAAGTGTTCAGCCAGGCAAATTCATAGAGACAGGAAGCAGAGGAGTGGGTGCCAGGGGCTGGAGAGGGGAACAGGGAGGAGTAGTGGCTAATGGCTCCTTTAGGGGGTGACAAAAATGTTCTGGAATTAGATGGTGATGGCTGCACAACTCTAAATATACTAAAAACCACTGAACCGTACACTTTACAACGGTGAATTTTATGATATATGAATCATACCTTAATAAAACTCTTATTTAAAACAGAATGGTGGCCCAGCGCAGTGGCACACGCCGGTAATCCTAGCACTTTGGAAGGCTGAGGCGGATGGATTATCTGAGGTCAGGAGTTCGAGACTAGCCTGGCCAACATAGTGAAACCCTGTATCCGCTAAATATACAAAAAATTAACTGGGCATGGTGGTGTGCATCTGTAGTCCCAGCACTTTGGGAGGCCGAGGCAGGCAGATCACAAGGTCAGGAGTTCAAGACCAGCATGACCAGCATGGTGAAACCCCGTCTCTATTTAAAAAAATACAAAAATTAGCCAGGCATGGTGGCGCGTGCCTGTACTACTTGGGAGGCTGAGGCAGGAGAATCGTTTGAACCTGGGAGGCAGAGGTTGCAGTGAGCCGAGAAGGCGCCATTGCACTCCAGCCTGGGTGACAGAGCGAGACTCCATCTCAAAATAAAATAAAATAGAATAGAATGGTAAGGAAGACTGAAGCCTGAGACAGAACAGGGAGGGCCCAGCCCCACTTCTTCTAGGGAAAGGAGTAGACAGAAAAACTGCTCACTCTAACTGGGCAGACATAAATTTCCGTGTGGCAAGATGAGAGCAGCTTGCGTCATGGGCAGAGTGGGAGCCAATACTTTATGAAGGAAGGAATTACTCTTTTAAGCATGTAAACATCCAGAAAGTTGACATTACAGTTAAAATTGAAAGTGAGGACTCATCTGTGGCTAAACACTTGCCCTGCTCTCCATCTCCACCAAGCCACGCCTTACAGGACTGCAGGAAGGTGCAAGTCATGGAGAAGAAAGTAAGGCCATTTTGAGATGGGCTCCGACATGGCTGACCCTTGAGGACATGGGACTCAGTGAAAGGAGCCAGTCACAGAAAGGCCCGCACTATAGGATTCCATTCCTGTGAGGGGCCTCGAAGGAGAGCCGTGAACTCTGTAGACGGACAGTGGAAGGGGGGTGCCAGGGGCTGGGGGGTGGGGAGTTGGGGTTGAACGGGCCAGAGCTTCAGTTTGGGAAGATGAACAAGTTCTGCGGAGGGATGGTGGTGACGGCTGAAAGATGGTTAAGATGTGCATTTTATCCTATGTGTATTTTACCAAAATGGTGAATGTGGTATGTTTTATGCTATGTGTATTTTGCCACACATTTTTTTAAAAGTCCATCTAGGCTGGACTAGCTCACACCTGCAATCC